ACTACTTATGCTGTATAAAGGAACTTGTAGCTATAGCTTATAAAACCCAGTGAGCACCATTATTGATTGCAACATCCCACCCCTACCTGTGCCCACCCCTACCACGTGCCCACATACACCCCTGTGGTGGGATTTGTACCTATGGAGTGTGGAGGACACCCCAGGAATTACCTGTGCATGGCAGGCCAGTTGCTGACCTCCTGAAAGTTAAGTCACTTGATATTAGCAAAGTCCTTCAGATCAAAAGCAGGACTTCTTCGTGAAGGTACTGAGAAAATTTTATTTTTGCCATGTCTAGATCCGTAGTTATATACCAAAATATATCCCCCCACCCCTTGGAAAAGAAGGGGTTGTATTTGCCACTGAAAAGTTCCTTGCTTTTGTGCCACTCTCCAGAAAAGTAAATGTTCAGTGTTTTTGCCTTGCCAGTGACTGAAAGAGAGGAATGGTCACAGGGGTGCTCTTTGCTGGTGCACAGTTTGGAATTGTCATTCCAAGGGCCCCTATCAGTACTGCCAGGAGCAAACATACAACCTGTCAGCCACTGGAAACAAAATAAATCAGATCCCAATCAGCTGTGGTGACCAGTGGGTTTTAGGAGTAAAGCAACAGAAAAACTTTTCTCTTGGCTTCCCTTAAGATCTCCTTGCTTTTTTTGTGAGTATGCTCTGCATGGTAAGCACACCACTGGGAACATACAGTCTTCCCAAATAATGCCAATACACTTTCATTGTATTGTACAATACAGCACTGAAGGAACACACTTTTGATGCAGTAATTTCTAGCAGAAATATCAGGCAACATTTTTTCCATGATTTAAACTTTGTATTTATTTATTTAACAGCCTTACTTGAAGTCAAGAGAACATTTTGGCTGAATTTGTTTAATTACATTTTCAATTAAACATTTTTTAAACCTTCTTTTAAAATTCTAGATATAAGATGTTCATTAGCAGCTACAGAATAATGTATGTTTTTATCAAAAATATAAATAGCCATTTATTTAGATTTTGCTGTAAGTATGTCACCGGAGAGAGTGGGGAAGGTCTCATTTAATTAGAAGTCAGTCCATTTGGAAAATTTTGTTATAAAAACCAGAACTTTCCTCAGGAGTAAGATTTCATCATTTAAGCATGAGTTAAACCCAGCTCCCCTGTGGGTAACTGAAAGCAGGGCTCAGTGTTGCCTGAGGATTCCATTGTGCCTGAGCACTGTGGGAGCCTGAAGGTGTCCATGTGCCAGGTGAGTGTGGCTGTGTTGGGGTGGCAGCAAGAGAAGTCCCTGGTGGCTGAGGCTGCGTGATGGTCCTTCCCACCCACCTTCTGAGATGGCATCTTTCAGCTGAACTTTTCTTTTAATAGCATTCCTACCCTCTGCTCACACCATGTGAGCAGAGGCTGTGCCTGGCATTAGCATTCTGCAAGTAAAGAAAATTCACTGAAAGCAAGTTATCACCACTTTTATTTAAAAAGTAAAATTTTGGGCTTGTCTTTCCCTTCAGAAAATCCTATGAAAGATATGACTGGGAAAGTTATATTTAGCTTGGAACAAACTTCCACTAAGAGCAGCATTGAGGAAGTTGGGCTCAGTTTCACAATCCTACTGATTAGCTTTTGAAAATCATGTACTGAGGCCATAAAATATGCTCGTAAAGTGTTCATACATTTTCTGAGCATGTGCATTTGGCTAAGTTAGCTATACAGTGAAACAGAATACTGCAAAATGTACAGTGGCTCACTGCATAGTAAACCAAGTGTCTTGTTTCTTTATACATGTACAATAGGGCATCATCTTTGATGTTTTTAAAAATTGCATGCAATATAATTGCTGGTTATTAGTAAAGTACAGGGAAGGGATCATATTATATATACATTCTGAAACAATAAAGACATATTTAGTCATAACAACATGAAAGTACTATTTGAGAAGGAAAAGCCTGCAGTGTACTACACATGCATTCTGAAGAAAACATGATTATGTGTGTGAAAGTGGAGCCAGGTGCTCGGAAAACGAAGCATTCCATTGTATTGGAAATGCACCTGGGCTTCAGGATCAACTGATCAACTCTAATCTGGTTATTCTAGGACCTATGATCTTAACCTGACTTGAATGTTTCTGTTTTGGTTGGGGTTTGGTTTTGGGGGCAGAGTTTTCCTGAAGTAGTTTCACTTTATTACTCACCAAATGGGAATGCATTGATTTCCCTTTTTAGAAAGATAGTTTGTGCGATGTTGACTGAACTGTGTGACTGGATTAAACTTACATAATGTGTCTTTCAGAGAGTGACTAATTGGAATTTACTGCAAGTCGCAGATGACTTTTAAATCAATTCTGTGAAGGCTTCATAATAAGACTTACTGATTGGGAGATTAGTACCAGAAAACACGCATACATTATCCAGCTGACACTGAGAGCAAATAGTGCTCCAGAGAGCAGCTGTTTCTCCTGCACCCTGAAGGACTACTCCAGGGGAAAGTAAGGAAAGTAGGACCTACACTGAACAGCTCTTGCAGCTGAGGTTTTACAGCAAATGGGAACATTTGAAATAGCACATTACAGCCTTTTATTCCTTCCCCCCCATCCCCTTCAGTCCATATGTAAATTGTAGAACCTCTAAACAGATGTTGTAGTTTAAAGGTTGTTGTGTTGCTGGGTTTGGCTTTTTAGTGTTTAAATCACTAAAATGTACAATGACTGAGGCTGCTCTGGTTGCATGCTCTGCTGAGAAGTTGCTCAGCTGTTGCTTCCAGTCATTCCATTTTACAGTTCACCTCAGTCCTGTGAAATCATGCCCTGAAATTAAATGTAAGAGTGACAACCCCTGCAGTTTCCTTCCTCATGCAGTCTGCACAGCATATTCCTCCCTGCACGTGCAATTGTGATTGCAAATGTTTGTCGCACACAATTGCTAAAAAAATCCCAAAAAAATTGTGATCCAAAAAATTAAGAGGTAGGAAAGTAGAAAGGAAATTACTTTCCTCTTCAGATTTTTACCTCTTTTTCATCGAGTATGTAGCAGACAGTATCTTCAGGCAGTATCTTCAGGCAGAGCAAGTTACAAAGATAATTTGTTGGAAAATGAAGGGCTCTGGAGAGGAGACTTTGCTGGCAGGGAGTGCAGGAGCCACTGGTGGAGAGCAGGCACTGAATCAAAAGCCAGCCCAAGGTGTAAGAAGAGGAGCAGGACCTGCAGGCTACCAGCAATAGAGACAGCACAGAGAGCCTGGAGCAGGAGTGTCTAGGGAGTGGATGGCTTCCTGCAGGATTTGAGTCAAGCCCCAGGTCCCTGACTGCACTTGTTAGCTCTCAGGGATGACTCACCTCTGCAGTGACCAGGGCTGCTGAGGACAGTGGCTTGCTCTCTGTTTCTTTATTATCTCACATACTAAAAAGTTAAAGATCTGGACCTGCCTGATGACCCAAACTGTTGTCAGGAAGGTGTGTACAACAGAAATTTCATTCTTCAGTTTGGTTTTTGAAATCAGGGATGTGGTGTGTGTAAAGGAAAGCACTGCTTTGCAAAGCCAAATGCCCAAAGTTAGGCAATGGCAGAAGAATGAGCATACCCATTATAAAATTGTGTCATCTGAAAGCAGTTGTATAAATTTTAATTTTTCGGTTTCTAGCTTTATGGCTTTAACTTTGTTTCAATCTGTTTCTGGTGTACACTACTGTAGAGCATACAGCCCAGGCTGTAAGGGTAGGCTGAAAGGTGGTAAGCCCAGTACTCCTTTATTTGTAAACAGCAGAAAATGCTATGAATTGAACAATGGGAATCTGATTTATGTCAAACCAATAAGCAGTCTCTGTTAGAGTAGTGTAACACAAAGCAGTGTTAAAATTAAAATTCATAATTGTATAACTACTTTCCAGATTATAACGCATTTTCATAATTACAGCCATGAGATAGGACCTTTCCCTGTTGGGTAGTTTTGCTTACCTTTTTATTGGCATTCTTAGATTTAATTTTCCAGGATCCAGAGATCTGTTTCTACTAGCATGACTCTAAAGTGCCATTGAAAATAACTCAGTTCTTCAGAATTAGGAAAAGGGAAGCTGACAATTAAGGAGTAAGTATGCCAAAACCCAGATATGTGCTCTACTAGTGATTGAAAGGGAAATTCAGCCTGCTTTACCTTGCTTCTGAAGTGAAATTACACAAAATAATAAGAGTTGATTCTGATAGTAAATTTACTATCTTGAAAATCACTGCATTGTTTATTTTCAACAAATTCCATCTTCAAAGAATTTATTTCCAAAATGAAGTTTTGGTGATGCATTTTTTCCCCTTAAAAAATAAGAGGAATTTTGGGTTGCAGAGAAATGGATAATGAAATGTTATTAGAATTCATTACTTAATTCCTGAGCCTGTCATCACTCAAAGTTGTTTGGAAAGGATGACTCTTCTGGGGCAGGTGTAGGTCCACCTTCTTCCATGAGGATTTCACCTGATGTGATTCCTGGGAATTAAACTATGAAGTGACTTTAGCGGAAAGGAAAGGAAAGGAAAGGAAAGGAAAGGAAAGGAAAGGAAAGGAAAGGAAAGGAAAGGAAAGGAAAGGAAAGGGTCCCCTGAGTCCATGCTATTTTTACACTTTGTGTAGATAAAGTGTCAGTTCTTATCATCTCTTACTCGTCATCTTAGTTTTCTTGATGGTCTGTTGCCATGGTGTGTTAATATACTTGCAAGGATGGACAGAAAAATGCCTCCCCTGAGTCTATGCTATTTTTACACTTTGTGTAGATCAAGTGTCAGTTCTTATCATCTCTTACTCATCATCTTAGTTTTCTTGATCTTCTGTTGCCATGGTGTGTTAATATACTTGCATGCCGGCCAGGGAGCCCTGGGCAGCGCAGCGAGGCGGCGGCAGCGCGGGGCACCGCGCCGGGCACGGGGGCCGGCAGCGCGACCTGCTGCTCGCAGCCTTGGGCATGAAACTGGGCGCTCGCAAGGCGTCTGTGACAATCTGGCAGCCTCTTAAACTCTTTGCTTATTCGCAGTTGACGTCGCTCGTCCGAAGAGCAACTCTGAAGGAAAATGAACACGTTCCGAAATACGAGAAGGTTCATAATTTCAAGGTAAGACGTTTTCCTATCTAATTTTTTTTTCAGGCAAAGGGACTTTAACTCGTGTTTTGAAATGGGTCTGGTATCGCAAGGAAATCATAGGTATGCACACCGTGACTTTCTAGGAACTTAAAAGCTGCAAGCAAAGCTCATTGCCGGTTAGATCAGTGAGGCACATTTAGAACATGCAGCAGAGAAACTGGGATTTTGTTGTTGGCCGCTTGTGTGCACGCATTTGTTTCAGTAACATTTGCTATATCTAGTTATCTCTTTTATTTAGAATTGGTTCATACCGAGAGAGATGCTAAAGGTGAGAAAAACAGCAAAGTTTTCTTGCGACTCGAATGTAGTGCAGTTTTACTTTCAATGCAAAAAAAATCTCTTAGATCTGTAGTTAACTGACTAAATTGACCTTATCTCAGTTTGTCGATGGTAAATAGCTTTGGAGGTAAGAAGTGTGTTCTGCTGCACCTGGATTGAGCAGATGGTCTGCATTTCCCTTAGTTTCTGGCTTTTCTCCTGTGTCAATGAATTGAGTGTTGAAACCAGCGAGGCTTATGCCATGAGGCTGTTGGACATGCTGGCATCAGCAACTACCTTGTGTTTTAATAACATTTACTTAGTCTTCTATGTAGCTTCTAGTTATTGTTCTAATTACTTTAAATAACCAGTGTTCTTTGGTAAGAGCGATACATGTCAGTACAATGTATTTGTGTTTTGTGTCTGTCTGTAATAGGTATCCAGTAAGAACTCAGTAATGCAATCTTTTGGTGGTCAAATACATTAATTTTAAGACTGTGTAAATTGATGTTTTACTGGATTCCTGTAGATGACAGTACAAATTTCATATATATAGTTTGAAGGCCAAATGTTGTCTTTAATGTAAAAAAAAAACCCACCAAACCCAAAAAACCCTACTTTTATTTTTTTTAAGAGAAGGGCAGATTGTTAATATAATACAGGCATCTGATGATATAAGCATCCATTTAAATGTCTCCTGTTTTCAGTTTTGATTTCTATCACACACACATGTAGGAATGTGGGAACATCCACATGCATGCACATGTATTAATTTACCTATCCTCCATCTGACTTTATTTAAACCACCTTCTGGCTTTTGAGTGCAGATAATCACCAAAAGTGGACACTTTATGTGATCAGGATGTTTTGTTTCATTTGAGTACTTCCATTAAGCACAAATTTGAAAACTGTGTACAGAATGGTATGTAAGCGTTTAATACAAATGCTTGGCATAACATATTTGTGCTGGCTGACAGTTCAATGCAGAGCATTTTTTCACAGGCTCCTGAGGTGTCCTAAATATCTGCAACGTCTTGCAATTTTCATTTGTTCCTTAGAGTTTGAAGATAATTCTTGCAGATGCCAGCAGATTGTGATTTTCCATGTACTACGGTGTATGTAGGATATTAAGTATTTAATTTTGCACATCTGTGTTCCCTGGTTGCTTTTCTTTAACATCCTGAAACATACCTGTTTTGAAAATAATCTGATAACCTGATTTTCATTCATTCGGGTTTGTTTATTTCTTTTTCTTCCATGGAAAGTTTCAGAGCTGTGAGTTTTCCAGTCTTTTCCAAAAACAGACTGTATGTCTGCTCCAAGGTCATAGCCATGGCATAAACTTTCCACACAGATTGTTTTCTTTATAATAGTTGTACTGCAGTTCCTTTATACATACTGTTGCCAGAAAAATATGCCTTGAGAAGTGTATTCTCACGTCAGTGGAATGGAGTTGCCTTTCACAGATGATTTCTGCTGTAAAAGACTAGAAGGGGAGAAGCTCCTTACAGGGTGTGCTGCAACCAACCTTCCCATGGAAGGAATGCTGCTGGCATTCATGAACTCTAAATGTGTCCACTCTCCCATCAGAATAAAAAGCAAAAACATAAGCTCTTAGCAAGTATGGCTCTAAAATGAATGTTAGCTTGTGTGCTTCTCTCCTTTATAATTTCTTTGCATCTGTCAGGGTTTTTTCCTCACATGTATAGATGTCATCATTTAAAATGTCTGCATGAGTCTCCTAGGTTGCCTGCCAAGCAGCAAATCTGCCACCCATGTGGAGAGGAAGGAAATGTCAGGCCCAGAGTCTTCAACCTAGACTTTTGTAACAAGCTAAGAAAAAACAACTCAGAAATTAAATAAATTTATCCAGTTCAGCTAATCAGCAGTGACTGCTGTCCCCAGAGGCTCCACAGCAAACAGGAGTGTGTCCGCTGCTCTGTACCTCTGCAGCTAAGCTGCTGTGTGTGCTGCAGGCACCAGGCATCAGACAGGGAGCCCTCACCCTCTCCCAGCAGCTTCTTTGGTCAGTCACATCGCTGCTCACAGAAATAAAGGGGTCTCAAAAATCCTTTTATACTGGAAATGCTGCAGCATCCTGCTAGAGAGAGGAGAAATGGAGAACCACACACGCACAACAAGCAGCGGTGTTTTCTTGGGGGAGGGAAGGTGACAGCTGCAGCCACTCCAGAGGCAGCCTGTGGTTAGCAAACATCCCAGAGTTCACAGCTGAGGGATCTCAGTTCTCCCTGCACCTCCTGCCTCTGTGGGGTGGGTATTGGGGCTCAGGTGCAGTTTGAACGCTCAGACTCTGTTTCCTGCACAAGGCTCAGGTAGAGGAGCATGGTGGCAGAGGGGCAGTGTAGTGAATCCTCATTACAGGAGTGCAGTGCCTAGGGGAGGGGTGAACATGAAAGCTGCTTTTAAATCATCAAGAGGTCTCCTGAATAAATCCATTAACCTATGTTTTGCTCCAAGCGTTGTTTGAAAGAAGAATGTAAAGACAGTTTTACTGGGAGTGCTGACATGGCAGGGTTTTTGAGAGGATTTAATCTTACTTAAATCTCCTGGAATGTGAGTTGTCTCTTGCCTGAAGGGAACAGGCTGGGTAGCCAGGGTGACAGGGAGCTCTGCAGGCAGAGCTGGTTGGTAATGATCTCCAACTCTGTAATATTCTCCTGGCTGGGGAAGTCTGGTCTCTCATGAGCACATCTCAAATGCAAATATAGAGTGCCTGAATTCTCTTAAATTAATCTCCATAAGTAAAGAAAGGAATGATTATTTGTAAATGTCAGTTCTGACTGAGTTTTAAATGTGTGTCCTTTAGGATGAAAGCTAGATGTGAAAAGTATTCTCCTTTTAAGCATATTTTTGCCTTTTCCAAGTTATAAAAAAAATTAAATTAATATTTCTGTGTTCTTCTCTATAAATCTATTGTAAAAGATCCATTTTCTAATAATTCAAATATATCAGATTAAAGAGACTTACATTGTTTGATAGAGCATTTTATTTAGCTCTAATTGAATAATGGAATTTGACATGAGTGTGACTTGATTGGGTCTGTCTTTTTGCATATTTGGATTACTTTTGGTTTCCCTCTGTTTACTGTGTTTTCCTAAAATCCAGCACACTGAATGAGATCTCTTGTAAAATGAATCCTTAGACCAAATGAGGACAGTCACTTCATCGTCCTCAAAATTTCAGCCCCACCTTTTCTCACAGAAAGGCTTTTACTTTCTTTCAATTCACTTACCATTATGGGGAATAAATCTCCCCACAGATACCATTGTGGTACAAATGTATCAATATGGACAGGGGTGTCTGTGTGTGATGGATATCAAGCTCGTTCTTCCACCCAGTGTAAGTGAACAAGAGCATCTTTTATTTGGAAGCTCTGGGAGACCTGTGCTCTTGGAAGTGCTGACAAGGAGCATAGCTGAAGCCAGGGGAATAATCACAGGGGAAAGTTCTGTAACAGAAGAGTTAAAAAGTTCTGTAACTTCATAGAAGTAACCAAAATAGATTAATACTTAATCATTCTCATAAATTTTACTCCTATATCCTACCAATAAGAATGCTTTTTACTGTCCCTTACAGTTCTCATAGTTGCTTATATTGTCCCCAAAAGGCAATAACTGTGATAGCTTGTAAATTAAAATCAAATTTTTTACCCAGCTGATATTTAATCTATTCAATAGGTTTAAGGATAGGAAGCAGCTGGGCACTTCTGGGCAGGCAGAAGGAGGAGGAGATTAAGGCAATAGAGGAACAGTAAATCTGAAGAGAAAAGGGGCAAGATGCCATGTGGATGGAAAATGAGAGGAGGACCAGGGGAGGACCAGCTCTGGGTTGGAAGGTGTGAAGTGGGCTCTAGCCCAAAAGACTTAGATAGCCAAGTTATCCAAGAAGGGTTTAAGGTTTTCTCCATCTTCTCTCTCTGGTGAGGCAGTTTATTAGGGTAGTGAACACAGGATTCCCCTTGCTCAGTCCTCTGCACTTTCCCACTCTTCCTCTCCTCGTCTCTCCATTTCTGCTCTTGGTTTGTTTCAAAACATCCCCTAGTTTTTTGCTGATAAAAAGGTGCATCTAATAAGGTATCTTCTGCCCTGGGTCCACCCTATCTGACATGGACTGTCTTGTGCATCTCCTCACCACCTGGTGCTGTGCTTTGGACTTGGGCACTGACCTCACTCTTTCGCCTGCTGTTTGCATGGGGCTGGGGAAGGAGATCAAACTGTGCTTGAAAAATGTTCTGGGTAAGGAGGGCAGTTGTGGAAGAGGAGCTGGGATTAATGGGATGATAGTTTCAAAGGAAGAGAAAGGTGAAAATCTGAGATTAACAACAAGAAATCTCCTGGGTTGTGACATTTGTCAGTCAGTGCAATAATCTCCTCATCACTTGGCAAATTTAAAATAAGCCTGGACAAAACACCTTAAAGGTCTTCACTCCCCTTCAGCTTTTGTGACTCATAGGCCCTGGGGAAGTTTTAGCTCCCTTGGCTGGTTACAGGTATTCCTTCAGACATCTCTGGCTCCTGATGCCTTGAGCCAGCAGAACACCCTGCAGGTGTTTTCTTACTGCTGCTAGTCCAAGGCACAGACCCACTCTTCTGCCTGGGTTAGTGCCATGGTGCTTCACTGAAGCAAGAAGGTGTCTGTGCCTGTCAGGGCTGGACTGAAAGCTGTGCCCCCGTGCATCATTTTATCCAGGA